ATAGTGTGACTGCTACCTTCAAATTTGCCGTGTATTGCTGGGCACGGCTGCGTATTGATATACCCCGTACAGCGCAGCAATACGCAGCAACATACGCAAAGGTGTGACTGAGGCATAAGATATGAGTGCCTAAACATAAAACTGAAATTAGACTGCTCGAGACCGAGATTTAGGAAAAGGGCACCCCCTTCCCCGTTCAAGTAGCCTACTTCCTGGTACATGTAGCTACAGTTAGCCTGGCCAGACTCGCTGGCTTCACGAGCAATGCCCATTTAAGCTATAAATTCTGTCTCTCATTGCCATTCTGTATACTGATCTTTGTTTTGTTTTGTTTGTTTGATGAACCATTAATTCAATTCAATTCAATCCAATAATTATCAAAAACAAAGATATAATATATAATCAAATTTTGACTGGGAAATCACTTAAAAAACCGATGGCTTGCAAAAAACACAGCAATTCCCCTTACACTTCAGTAATAATGAAACAGCACATACAGAATACATAGCACAAAACGAAACGGAAATCATTAATGTTGATCAATGTCATTGTCTACAGTACAAACTGTTCAGTAGCTGTATTCCATATTTAATTTGTCCTTTAAAGTTTAAACTGGTCAGCAGCGAGTAAATACAACACACTTGCGTGTAAAGTCATATTACGTTGACGTACAAAGTGATAGTGAATTAATTATTAAAACACCAAAGACAAGGCGAGCTGCATCAAATTTTCATATTTAGTAAAAGTTTTTAACTGAACCCCCAAACACCAAAGACAAGGCGAGCTGCATCAAATTTTCATATTTAGTCAAAGTTTTTAACTGAACCCCCCCCCCCCCCCCCCCCCCCCACCAAACATCAGCAAGATCCAAGCGCGTAGCAAGGTTCTTATTCTAGGGGGCGGTAGTGAGCACGCAGAGCGCGGAAGCTTTGACGTTTCAGTTATTAGAGACAGAAGACGATTTGTTGTACCGTTCACGACTCTTAATCCTCGTCGGAATTTTAGAAAATGTTTCTATGTCTGCTACTTTTCTTCCCACGTCCTCTTCTCTCTCCATGCTCTCTCTCTCTCTCTTTTTTTGGGGCCAGTGTTTCTTTAGGGGCGGCATTTCTTTAGGGGCAACCACCCCCACCACCCCCCCCCCTGGCTATGCATCTTGCAAGATCATGATGATGTATAATTATACTAGTGAGTAGTGGACAAGTTAAAGTTTTTATTTTGTATTGTACATTTTAATAAAGACAAGTCAACAAAAAAAAGAGTCGTAAAGATTCTGGATTTTGAATTATTTCTTACCTGATGTGATATGGTGCTGTACCTTGAGTCCCTTATCAATGAAAGTATTTCAGCATCGATTTTTCGTCTAAACAAATATAAAAACAAATAGCCAATGTTTTACAAAAAACAACAAGTGTTGCATTGCATTGGCTGCCACAATTGACAATGCAGCTCTTGCCGTTTAACGGCTCCCTGCTCAACACCTGGGCCGCTGGATCCCCGCTATAAGATGGTCGAAATTCCGTAGTCCTTGTGAAGAGGCTTGTGTATCCGTTGTGAATGTAGCTCGGTAAGAGGATAAAAATCCACCTTAACAAGTAAAAAGGGGCTTTGATGACTATTTTCAATATTCCTGCTTGGTCAAGCTTGACAAGAATGGTAATCCTATCCTTGATTATTCACCAAAATCCAACGTTGAGATAGCGGTTTCATTTGAAAGGCGACCCCGCGCGAGTTGCGGTTGGTAACGGCAGACGCTTTGTGAATGCCAGTTGTGTGCATGTGTTGTTCAACAGTAGCAGATGGTGCCGAAACGCAGAGGGCGTGGACCGGAGTCCATCCTTTGGGGATGTTTTAGCCCAGAGAGGGGGAGAGGGAGTGAGGGGGGGGGGGGGGGGGGGGGGGGGGGGCACAACATTATAATAAAATTAATGGATTTAATTTTTAAAAATGGTATTACACTACAAAAATTTCAAACAAGTGTAGCAGACCCAACCGCCAACAGATACTATAAGACAGGAGTATTCCCTAGTGTCACCCAATCTCCCTCCCTTATTTTATTGATGCACATGCACCCCTCCCCGGTCGGGTATTGTACGCTACCCTTTAACTTTGAGAACAATGCACAATATTTTGCAGGATAAATTGGCATTGAATTCCCCCGAATTCCCCTATTGAAGAAAGAAGAATGTATCACCCTTGCTATAACGGCTCTTACCAAAATTAATGTCAATCACGATGAAAAGGAAACATTTTGCCAACCTCCCTTCCCCAAAGTAATGTATTTCTCAACCTGTTCGCTGGCATGTTCCCCCAAATCAGTTAAATCGCCTGAGAGAAATCCTTCCTAAAATATCTTTAGAGTTGGTTTGCTACCCACGCTCACACTTATTTAATGACATTAGGAATACGAGTATATTGTATCAAGTGTGTTGATATCGATCTTATTCTTCATTATTCCTTTCATAATAAAATTGTACTTAAAACCACCGTCAAGTTTGGGTAACACCATCTAATCGGTCGCATTGCAAGCTTGCAAATTACATAACAAGCTAACTTTTGCTGGTATAATAAACTCTCAAAAAACTAATTTAAAATTTAAAAAAGAAAAGAAAGCATCGACTGTGATTGAAAATAAAATGAAAATATTAAAATAGCCCCAATATGAATCCGGGATTGTCATCGAAGTATCCCGTACATGTCCTCCACATTTAGAGGGAAGTCTTAAAGGTAATTCATTTTTTAGGGAAATTTGAAAATTGCATGGATAGTACTTCTTTAAAATTTTGATATATTTGGAAGCCCATGGTGATGTATAATAAGCACTAAAAAATGTAGCCCTTAAACACCTTTGCTTTCGAGAAATTGAATAAATTAAAATGTACCGGTGCTCCAGGTAAATTTCAAATAGTGCCTTAGGCCATTATATGGCAGCTGCGACCATGACAATCTCAGAATATGCAGATCTGATATATAATTTTCAAACGGGAATAGCAAATCGGTCGATTGTAGTCAAGAAACATTGTTTCAATGCTAAAGTAATATCAGTCTTGAGAGGGAGCTATACAACATAACAAGCAAAGAGATTCGATCATACACAGTATGTCCTCCGTAGGAGGACTAGAGGGCCAACTAAAATCGTGACCTTTGACATTTCATAGGTTTTGCATTGGATGCATTATGGGGGTTTTGTCCGATTTGAACGACGGTTTTGGAGGGTCAATGAATATTCATGAGCAATGACGTAAAAAATACGCCAACTACTGTTTGTTGATTGGCCATCGACAAAATGTTTTATGTATTAGGTCATGCATAAATCATTTTTTTCATTCCCAGAATTCCCTACGATTTGAGCACACAAATGGCGGTTGTATGAACTGCAACTTTCAAGTTATTCAATTACGAACAATGAAACATTTTTCTTTTAAGTGAATTTCTATTATAATAGAAGTTTGTCAAGTACATCTCAGTGAAGCAGAAAATCTTCAGGCAAACATCGACATCAAAGTGATACCATACGGATGCCAAAAAAGTAAGTAAAGATCAAATTTGTGTGAAGATCTCTGAAATGATTGTGATGTGTTCGTCATTGCAGTGAGGGGATCTCCGCATTGTCACAACGTATTACCCGGTTAACCCCCTACCCCATCCTCTTTTCTTTCTTCTGACCAAAGAATATTAACTGATTGAATGAACTCTAATTTAAGTCATCGACGGTAGTATTTTTAGAAAATATCAGGATTTTACCGTAGGTTATTTCATTAGAGCACATCTCATAATTTTAAGTTCAGTTCATAGCTTGATTACCGATAGTAATCGGTCGTAGATGTGGACCTGTTGGAGACTGCGCAAATGGCTCATTGCTAGTCCAAGCCGATGAGATCTCGTCGAGCGGTTTATGATCTTCAATCCGCCGGTTCTAGCCGGCTGTAACACTCCACCAAGAAGCGACTGCGTTTCCTGAGCTGGCGCGGCTATAACTTACAGTCAGTGTGTTACTGTAAAGCCTAGGGCTAGGCTAGTATTCATAGCATAGTCTGGCCTGAATTTTCTGTCTCTTTTGTTCGTTAGCCTCTGATTTTGGGTAGGGTCGGCTCCTCATTTCAGCCGACCCTATCCAAATCAGAGGCTAACGAACGAAAGAGACAGAAACATTCGGGCTAAGCAGAGCCTAAGCAGAGCCTAGGTCTAGATCTAGTCTAGATCTAGCACTTAAATATAAACAGTGTTACGATATACGATATCCGATATATCCGGTATCCGTCGTAGTTCAATAAACATGGTCACCATCATCACAAACCTGACTGCCGACTCGTCTATTATCATGAGTATCTACCAAATCTAAGACCCTCGAACTCATCATGGTGGCAGCTGCTGGGATCTTCGAAATCAAGTTTAATTTTTGAAGACACAATTGATCCAGTTCACGACAGTTGGGAAGTATAATTAGCAAAATTATCGTCGATTAGCGATTTGTCACGTCGCACTTTTTCGTATGCATAGTACGTGCATCGTACATACCGCACAGTGTACCGAGACACTGATGCTACTGCATAATCCCGATGAACTCGTACGTGAATGGTGATGTGTGTATGAGCATATAAAGGTTCATAAAGCCTGCTCAGAATAGCCTAATCAAGTTATAACTGTGCTCAATCACTGACACAGGGGTCTGCATAATAACTTAACTAGTAAAGTTTAAATCTAAAATTAAACTAAATCAGAGGTGTGAACACTAAACCTGTTTTCAGATAATATTAACAATAATATCTGGTGTGTGAGGAATTGTCACTGTCGGACATATTGAGTGAGAGTGATCAACATTTTCATTGCATGAGACACCTAATGACATTCACACAGGTGTGAGAGCGTACACAGGTTTACGTGTACGAACCTTATCAACACCAGCCGGTTAGGACCTGTTCACACTAAGATAAACAACACAAAGATTTACACTCATTCATATAATCTGTCGTAACCAATACGCACACGTGACATATACAATGAGTACTAAGTATCCAGAGATGAACTGGGAGGTACCAGACCTACCCGAAGAATTCAAGCTATTCAAGCAGAGAATGGAGCTTGTGTTGGCAGATCAAGAAATAACTGAAAACAAAAAAAAGGCTATAAAAATCAAAATCGCTGTAGGCAACGAAGGTTTGCGCAGAATCAATGCGTCTGGGCTATCAGAGGCCGACCAAGAAAAACCACAAGAGCTGTGGAAATTATTTGAGAAACAAATAAAGGTAAACATTAATTTTCGGGTCCATCGTCTCGAGCTGATGCGATATCGGCAGAGACAAGATGAGAGCATTGACGCATTCGTTACTCGATGTAGAGACAAAGCCAACACATGCGATTTTGAGGACTCCGAGCTTGCCGAGCGGATAATGGAGGTAGTCATCACCTCAACACCAAGTCTAGAATTCCAGAAATTCCTATTGGACCAGCCTAAAGGATATCTAATCGAAGCAATTCTTGTAGAGGGTCGAAAATACGAGGCAGTTGCGGCGAGCAGAAAATGCCTAGAAACGCTTGAGCCGGCTAAAGAAAGCATAGATTCATTCAAGCGGAACCAGGGACGAAAGACGTGTGGAAACTGTGGACGTATCCACAAACCTCGTCAGTGCCCTGCGTACAACGATGTGTGTCGTGCCTGTGACACAAAGGGCCATTGGGCCAAGTTCTGTAGAAAGGCTAAGAACGATCGTAGTCGAAAACCAGATCGTAGATCAGATGACCATAAATCTGATGACCGTAAACCGAAACACGGTAACCAATCACGATCAAAATCAAAGGGTCGAAAGTATAAACCGATTAGTGAAATGGATACTGAACATGATACTAGCACAGATCATGAACATCAACAATCAGCAGGTCCATCAAACTTCGAACATTTTGACACCATACACACGATCGGAACACACACAGTGATCAACTCAAAGGGTACAGTAGCTTTTGCAAACATTGACATCATATGCCCACAGAAATCAGGTCAGCATTACCTATATCTGAAGATAGACTCTGGGGCAAGCGCTAATACTATCACAGTACGCACAGCCAAACAAATATATGGTGACAAGTGGAGGCAAGTAGTGAAACGTACACCAGTAAAGCTAGTAGCATATGGCGAAATATCAATACCATGCGTTGGTACACTAGACATAAAGTGTAGATACAAGAGTCCAGAATGGTATACACATACATTCTACGTAGCAGACGTGAATGGACCAGCTATCTTAGGGTTGTTAGGTTGCACAGATCTCGGGATTATCACAATCCACACAATGCACAAGGACACACCTACACATACACCTATCACAAGTGTTAGTGACCTCAAACAAACATACCCAGATCAGTTTGATGCCATAGGAAGCTTTAGCGGGAAAGCAATGCTGCATCTGAAAGATGATGCAGAGCCAACCATAGATGCACCTAGAAAGTGCAGTGTCCATCTGAAGGACAAGATCAAAGCCGAACTAGATAACATGGAGAAGCAAGGAGTCATCAGAAAGATAGAGAACCACACAGATTGGTGTAGCTCGATGACCACCGTTGTGAAGAAAGATGGATCCATACGGATATGTCTTGACCCCAGAAGGTTGAACGATGCCTTGAAAAGGTGTCCACACAAAATTCCAACCTTGGAAGAAATCCAACCAATCTTCGCAGGAGCTCAATTCTTCTCCAAGCTAGACGCAAAGGCTGGATACTGGTCAGTACACCTAGCAGAGGAATGCCAAGACCTGACCACCTTCAGAACACCATTTGGAAGATATTGTTTCCAAAGATTACCCTTCGGCTTATGCACAAGCCAAGACATCTTCCAGCAACACATGGATAGGATCGTCCAGAATGTGCCTGGCTGCGTATGCATCGCAGACGACATTGCCATTGTCGGGAAAACAGAGGAGGAACACGACAAGAATCTCCACTTACTCATGGAGACAGCGAAACAGGAAGGACTCGTGTTCAACAGCTCCAAGTGTACTATCAAGAAGGAAGCTATCAGCTACTTTGGATCCATGTACACAAGATCTGGAATCTTCCCAGATCCAAGCAAGGTTGAAGCTATCAACACAATGCCTTCACCCAAGGACAAGGAAGATGTTCAGAGATGCCTAGGATTATTCACATACCTAGCACCATACATTCCTAATCTATCAGAGAAGTCAGCACCACTTCGTGAACTCCTTCACAAGGAAATTCCATTTGTCTGGGACGAGGATCACGAACATGCCTTAAACAGCCTGAAAAGCGCAGTCTCATCGGGAGCATGCCTGCAGTTCTTTGACCCAAAGAAAGAGACAACCGTTGAGGTAGATGCATCAATGAAAGGGCTGGGAGCATGCCTGCTCCAAGATGGCAAACCCGTAGCTTTTGCATCCAAAAGTCTCTCCAATTCACAGTCCAACTACTCGAACATAGAGAGGGAAAGCTTAGCCCTAGTGTTTGGTATCGTCCGATTCCATACATACCTATTCGGGAAGGAATTCACTGTGATAACAGATCACAGGCCTTTGGAGACAATTTGGAAGAAACCTCTAAGAAGCGCACCACCTCGTCTACAGAGACTATTGATCAAGGTACAAGGATACAGATGCCAAGTCAAGTACCGACCTGGGAAAGAAATGATTCTTTCAGATACCTTGAGCCGTCTTCCTAACCCCAAGGAAGCACGCGATGTTCCACTAGACATCAGAGTGGAATCAATCTGCTCCGAAGTAGAAGACACTCATCAAATCGACTTGATCTTCTTCGGACAACACAAGAGAACAGAACTCCAGAGGGAAACATCCAATGACCCTGTTCTTAGGTCATTGTGGCAGACAGTCACTCAGGGTTGGCCTGAAACTCTTCAGGAGCTGCCGACATCCCTCAGGGAATTCTGGTCTTACAGAGATGAGATTGGAGTATCTCAAGGAGTACTCTTCAAAGGAAGCAGAGTCATCATACCGAAGACACTTCGAGAAGATATCCTCAGACAACTTCATCTTGGACACATGGGAATCGAGAGCACGAGACGACTAGCTCGTGAGACAGTGTTCTGGCCACACATCAACAAGGACATTGAACAGCTCGTAAAGCAATGTGCTGCATGCCAGGAACACCAGGCAAGGCAACAGAAAGAGCCGTTGCTTCCCCATGATGTACCTTCAGCACCTTGGACTAGACTAGGAACAGATTTGTTCATGCTAGACAGACAAGACTATTTACTCGTCACTGACTATTACTCCAAGTATCCGATAGTCTACAAGCTGACTGACACATCAAGTGCTGCAGTAGCCAACGTGATGAGTGGAATCTTCAGTCTATTTGGTCCACCAGAGGAGATCGTATCCGACAACGGTCCACAATTTGTCGGGAAGCACTTCAAGGACATGTGCCGGAAGTGGTCGATCACCCATACAACCTCTTCACCTCACTATCCAAGATCCAACGGACTAGCTGAGAGAATGGTTCGTACCGTCAAGAATCTGTTGAAAAAGTGTTCACAGACTGGCCAAGACAGTCAACTGGCTATGTCACACCTAAGAGCAACACCCGTTGACAGTCACATGAGATCACCTGCAGAGATGTTGTTTGGAAGACCCATCAGAACAACACTGCCAAGTCATCATCTTTCAAGAGAATCTACCACCACTGATCATCTCTTGAATCGACAGAGTAAGATGAAAGAAACGCACGATCGACATGCGGGTCCAGATCTTCCACCACTCCACGTAGGACAACCAGTCAGAGTCCTACATCCCAAAGATCATACTTGGATACCAGCCAAAGTATCCAAAGTCTGCGACGAGCCTAGGTCGTATGAAGTATCAACACCTAACGGAGGAATCCTGAGACGAAACCGATCTCACCTGAGGGAGATTCCATCGTCAACCAACCCTACTCCAAAGCGTGTTAGGTTCGACGAAGATTACACTTCATCTACTCAAGCAGAAACACCACAACAGAATGGCAACAACCATCAGCCAACACCAGAAACTCAGAACATTCAATCTAAAGGACCAACATCAAACTCGCAAACCACAACAAGATATGGACGCAACATCCGTACACCAGCGAGATACATGTTTGAAGATTGAAACTGAACTCTTAAATTTTTCAAAGAAGAGAGAAGATAAAGAAGAACACAGAAGACGCTTAGTTTAATGTAGTCTAAGAAGTTTATTGTTCATATGTATGTATAATCATTGTACAGTATTTTTGGTATGACAAGCATAATGTTTATAAGTCTAAACAGATGCTAGCCCAAACATGTTTCGTTTGGAAATTCATTTTATAAAGGAATCAAGTTATATCAAAACTATGTTCAATCTTGCAGATCAACTGTGAAGTTGAAAGTGGAACGATATAATTATATAGACAGTTAAATACTCATTCGTTAAAGTAGATATTCATTGATTTTAAAAACTAACTTTATTCTTATTATTGCAAAGTTGAAAGTTTGATTCGACAAGGTTATCAAAATTCAATGCTTGGAAACATTCGAAGTAATGATTATTATAAATTACAAAACGCTTAAATACAGCCCCGGCATAGCAACTGAAGAGCTCTCCGAACGCTGCTGAGATGTGTGAGATCACAGTATGGACATGACTTGCACAAGCAGACGATGCCCCATGACATATCAAACATTTTCAGTGCCTGTGTTTTCATCTTCTCTTGAGTTCTTTCTCTTACTTCACTACCGTCAGGCTAAATGTATAATCTATTGCCTCACTCTTAACCCTGCGCATGTTTTTATTTTGATGACAAATGCAGCGATACAAAAATAAAGAAATCTGCAGCTTGTAAACAAAATAAGACGCCATTGTATATTCAGCTGCACACACCGGGGTATGTTCGGCGTTTCAAGAGGGAACAAATGCCGTTCTTCATTCATTCCGGGGGTTTTTCAATTTGAAAGTCTGGTTTCTTTGATTGTTAATTAGCCCATATCCTGTGTATTTACAAGCAAAAGATTTTAGTTATCAGAATCGGGTCATATCCCCTTTTGAATGGTTTGACATGCCATTACATTTATATACACTTAACTCATTATAATTTGAGAAATAATAGCTTGGCAATTATGTTCATTCTCTATGGGATGTCGTCTGCTTGGGCAGTGTTGGTCCATATAGTGACGTCATTAAAACATCGTTATTTTTCCGGCGAATCTCTCGTATATCCCAGCTGCTATGGAGGTGGTTGTATTTGTATTTTTATAAATCACCCGATATGTAGTTGACCTATAACTTGTACGATGGCCATCTGTTAGCTTACCAGTTTCTAGTTATACATTAGTTGACATATTTGTGATTTTCTTTGAATTTCACCTTTAATACAATACAAAAGAAACGTATTGAAAACAAATCAAGATTTTATGTTATATAACCTGATTGGAAAAAGTTTATTAGGAAGCAAATAACCAAAACTTGCATACTACCAAAAGTATTGTTATCAAAGCAATATGTCATTAATCATCGATCAGTGATGTTCACTGATTCCCAATCTTTCCAGAGGAAGGGGGATGTTACGATATACGATATCCGATATATCCGGTATCCGTCGTAGTTCAATAAACATGGTCACCATCATCACAAACCTGACTGCCGACTCGTCTATTATCATGAGTATCTACCAAATCTAAGACCCTCGAACTCATCAAACAGCATTTAACCCCGCATCTAGTATAGGCCTAGACTAGATCTAGGCTAGATTCTAGACCTAATGCTAGTCTTTTAGTCTTTCTAATAAAGAAAGACTAAATAAATGCCTGGTCAAATAAATGTGGAAGTTATGGAGAGGGGGGGGGGGGGGGGGGGGGGTGCACAATCATTCTGCGCCCCCTTTTTCAGATGTGGCATAGGTCTAGGGACGGGTCTAGATCTAGGTCTAGAGCCACCTACTATTAGTATTACTAATAATATTAAAATAGGCAATTAGATCTAGATCTATAGCTTGTGTTATGCCATAGCAAAGTATTCCATAGCCATGGGTCTAGTCTCGTTTTTGCTCCACTAGACTAGACTAGACCTAGTCGTGCACATGTGTCATTATTGTGATCCAGGTCCAGATTCAGCTTAGTTTGAATGTAGATCTACTACCAGGCTAGATCTACCATCAACAACAAAAACAAAACAAAAAAGGTGTCTCCTCCCCCCCCCCCCCCCCTCCCCCTCCCACTTTCCCTGATTTTGCTCTTAGTTATGTCATTGTGCCTTGTTTGAAATAATTAGTTTATTTTCAGGATTTTATGCCACCCCTTTTAGTTTTATGTTGGTGAGAATTCTGGATCCAACCCTACATGATATGGATATTTCTTTCTCTATTAAAGGACATGAACAAAGTTATTAACTGATAACTAATGCATGCATTTGATATTAGCAGGAACCTTACTAAGTTTATTTTTCTTTAAATTGTAGATCCTATGACCTATGGAACAAAGAAGCAGATAATGATCACAGAAGTGCAACAAAGAGCCCCAGGACCTGATCATCAAATGTTATGGTGTAGATCTAATCAGGAACAGGACACCTAAGTTGAACTCTGGCAAGGTATGTTTGTATGAAGTTCGAAAATATTCAGGCTGTATAATCTAAGCCCATGCGAACACCGCACTCGACTTGGACTATATACAAAGATTTGGGGAACTGTCATCTTGTATTGCATTATATCTTGTAATTCTCATTTATTCTCTAGCTTTTTATTTAGGTGACAAACTATGGTGTCGCTACAGTTTATTCTCTCAGCATATACTCAAAGGCATTTTTTCCTAAATATTACATTGTATCTAACAAACTTTTGTTCACAAAAGTCTAGCAAATAATAACTTAAAATAAATTGGAAATTACTTTTAAAATAATTGGAAATACATCTAAACCTTTTCTCTTCTTTTAAAAAAAGGCCCTATCAGATAGACATAAGTTTATCATTTTTTAATAAAATTAAAATGCAAGACCTAAAAAAGTGGGGAGGTACTAGATCTATTTTTAAAAATCCAATATAATGCAGCAGATTTAATCTTATTTGATTTCTCCTCTCTTTTTGTTTTTATTATGCAGGTTGTCCCATGCAGAAGGTTTGATACCCAGGCTTCTTTTGTACAAGTCCCTAGTCCACCCTCATCTTGAGAACTGTTCTGGTGTCTGGGATCCCTACAACATCTCAGATGTCCAGGACGCTACTTCACAATGGGGACCACAAGTGAACCAGCAGTTTGACTGAGATGATCAGCACCTTTAGTTGCCTACTATATCTACAACTACAAGGCACTCTGCAAGAAGATTGGGAATGGTGCACAAGATAGTCAATGGTCTCTCCGCTCTCCCTTGAAAATTTTCCCACTGTACTACTTATAGCTACTTGCGCCCTCTATATAGCAAACAATGCCTAATCGGTGCCTGTTGGTCCCCCGTGATCCTCTTCTTCTTATATTAATTGAGAGCTGATTTGATGAGATAACCACCTGTAAGTGACCTTGCAGGGTGGTCTAATCCCCCTGACCAAACTAGTACAGAAAAGTTTGTATTTGCCCAACACTCTGTCCCAAAGTTAATGGAACTTACTTCCAGCAAATATAGTGCATGCTGACAGTCCAGAGAACTGCCAGGGACTACTTCTGAGGCATCTACTCTCCTTATCCCATTTATCCCACTTAGAAACAATCTATCTTCCTCACACCACTTGTAATCTTTAGTATTAATTCATCTTCGTGATAGGCTACAACGCCTTTTGAAGATTACCAGAAGAAGAAGAAGAAGGTATATCGAGGATCATGAAAGTAATCATTTGTTCTTTTAAATGCGTGTACATGTAACATAGTTGTTTGATATTTAATCTTAAGTCAAGTTCTGACAAATATATGAGGGATGCTGAACTGGATAGTAAATTGAAGGGGGGGAATAAAATGATGTAGTTCAATAGTAATACTGTAGTAATATAATTAATAACATTAATAATAATAACAATATTACAAATAGTAACAATAATGACAATGATCATGATAATAGCAGTAATAATAATGATAATACAGGTAGTAGTAAAAACAACAATAATGTCCAATGTAAGATAAAGTACTCATAAAACTCAGTATATACCTGTGCTTTACACAATAAAATAGCATGTTGATATAATTGAATTTTTTGTCCTCAAAATCTACAGTAAACGTTTACAACTGAAAAATTTGAATTCAAGAGACAGCACCCCCCCCCCTCCCCCATCCTTTTGTCATCCTTTTGTTGATGTCATGTTGGATTTAAAAAGATCTTTATAGAAACAAAATATGTTGATAAATGAGTTCATAGATGTTAATAAATTAGTTAATACTACTTAATTCTGTTCTTTTCATTTTCTTATTTTGTGAAATATATGTGATGATGCTGGTGATTATGATGATGTAGGCACTCTGTAATGATAATGCTCTATGACTGAGGTGAGATGGGGGCTGATGCAGTCTTGTGTAGAATTGAGCTGGTGTTCGACCTTTTGATGTTTGTTTATATCTGGCATCAGCGAGATAGATTTAACCATCTTTCCTAATGAGAGAGAAAGCGGAAATGTAACAAGAAGGTGGCCAAGACTGATGTATAAATATAGTATAAAAAATGGTTTACAATAAAGATGAGGGGGGGGGGGGGTTAAATAAAGAATAGGTCAATGCCAAAATGATGAAAGCATAGGTAATTGGGGGAGGGAGGGTAATAGAGCCTATGGAAATGTCAATATTGGAAGGGGTCCCTGTATTGAAAATGTTACTGATGGGGGGGGGGGGGGGCAAATTTAAAAAAAATCAGTGGCGACGAATGCAAGAATGAAAAGAACGAGACAAAATAGAAATTTCATTGGGGATGGGGCACAATATGAAGATCATTGAAGTCGAGGTGAGAATGATTCATTATTTGGACACTAAAAATATGAATATATCACTTGTTGAGTGGGCTAAATGATCAGTGCAATTTTTCTGATTAAAAACATATTTAAGTTAATAAACGAACAAAACAAAAAAGAGGTAAAAAATGAATTGAGGTACCACAGTGAAATGGGGTCATTATCTTTGCCTTTTAACTGAACTGAATTTAAAAAAATGTACTTTCCATCCTGGTGACAGTGAAGTTTGGTGGCAGTCAACCATTTAAAAGTTTATTACCCCCTCCCCCCACCCCCAACACACACACCTCCCCAACTCTGACCTTTGTTCTAAATTTATTCGGCCCAAGGATTCTGTCGAGAGTAACGCATGTGCATTGCCTTTTTTTTCATTACGATAATATGCTAATAAGTGGAAATGAGCTCATGAATATTCCAAATTTTAATTTACATATTTTACGCGCTGCGCGCAGTCCAAAATCCCCATTTCGCTGGTGCACTAAACATTTGTCGTCTTCATAGGCTAATACATGAAAAGTGGAAGCAGTGTGCACTTTTGACCCTCCAAAATTTCCCCATGGCTAGACGGATGCAGAAGCGGAGTTGAACCCCTTTATTATTTACATCACTTTAGACTCGTTTTCAACCGCGACAACGATCAGTGTCTTCAGTGAATATTGTTAAATCGCATATGCCTCCAATATGTTCATTTGAACCAAATTCATGACTCCATACCAAAACTTTGTAATACCTTTAATATTTTTGCTCGCTCATTCAGCTTGCTCGCTAATGAATTAAGCTGATCAGGCAGTCAGTCATCCCAGTAGATCGATAGCCTGACAAGACCGACAACCCAGCAACGTCTCTTAAAAAAAAAGAACCAAGAGAAGAAAATATAGAAAACGAGAAAGTTACAAAAGCTCCAGCATGAGACCGACACACGAAAAAAAAAACCTTATGGATTTAGAGAGAGAAAGTAGTGTCGATCTTGTGGTCAAACGTTTTTTTTACAACCAGTAACATTACCTGTTTCGGTAAGCTTTTGCTTTGCTGTGCTTCAAGCTTCTTCTCTTTTAATTGAGGGTTCTTCTTCCAGATTTTGCAAGATAATGAAGCGGAAGCAGTATCTGCATTTTACAGCCAATTACTGAATAAAAGATCGAATGTTGAAGATTACCCTCCAATATAAATGGGATGTGATGTAGGGTATCATACCCCCGGGATCATACCAGTGTCTTTCTTTTTTTCTTTCCATTCATGTTGTGCATGGTGATTCTAGCCTGGTGCAGGATTTTGTCGGCGCCCCCTCCCCCTTTAAAAGACGCTCAGCGCCCTTGCATATAAAAAAGTGTGTCCTTCCAGTTTGATCCTTCGGAATTTTATAGACGATATAAACAATTATGAGGTCGTTTCCTTATCCAGTTTTTTAAAATAAATATTTATATTTGGTAATGTAAAAGAGAAAAATACATCCGTAAATTAACAAAATGGACTCCTTTGCTGCCTAACTGCCTTACAAGTAGGAAATAGAATTTTCCAAAAAAAGAGGGTGGTGATTTGAAAATCACGTTGAACGGACGTTATTAATGATTTTAACTTAGCTGATTTTGGGGAGCACGTTAAATGGCCCAACATGGAATTGAAAAGAGAGCACTGACTAAAAAAAAAAAAAAAAAGAGGGCGCCTCTACACAGTGGTGGAACCAGGGGGGGGGGGGGTGCAATTTTTTTAATTTTCGAGGTAAAAAAAATAAAATGTGCTCACTACCCCCTGCTGTGCCTGCATGATGTGTCCTTTCACATACTAATGTATCTGTCATAATAAATGATATATGTAATCAAACTCTGTAACTAAGTACTTTCTCCTCGTAAAGATACTCTTTAGATTTAACGAATCAGTAATTACTGCTATTTAATTTTAAGTGTCATCAATTGTCACTAAACTAAAGTACCGATTTTGAGTGAAATCAGTTGAGTTTTGTACAGTGGTGTTTGAAATGTTGAGAATTAATAGAAGAGGTTCAATACACAGGACACAGCCAGGATAGTAATGCAGCTGTGTGTGAATTAGGATAGACTACAGTACAAAACTTGTCGACATTAGTCCCGGGATTTGATCAATTTTTCTATGTTCAAGATATTTTATAATCCCCTTTTTTAATTTCTCAGGAGTCCAAAGAGATGAGAAAAAAGAGAGAAAAAAACACCTCTTTTTAAAGAAATCTCCGGGTGAAAAGTCAAATACACTCCCCCCCTTTTTTTTTTTTTTATAGAATTCTCGGGCCGGACTTTGTCGCACGAAAAGTACCCCTTTACCGGACATAGGGGTAACACGCATGGTATCCCTCCGTTCTCGGGGCGTTGAGGTGGACACCACGACTCCCTAGTTCACCCCACCCTTCTCCTCCTTGCCTCATGCATGGATCGAGTACCGCCTCTGAGTTGGACCTTCATCACCTTGGCATTGTCGCCCTCTACGTTAAGCATTCAGTGTCACGGCAACAGTTGAAAGATGGCGGCTCCCACGACTGAACAAATTTCCGAGATTCGGCAGGCGATTGCTCGCCACATCAACTGCCTTAGTGAAGGAAGTCGAATGGCAAAACGGAGAGCGTTAGATAATATACGAAAAGAAACAATCGGCAAGGAACCAAAATATGATGCTGAAGTTTTACAAGGCGTTTTGGAAGCGGAGATGAAGCCAATCATGAAATGCTTCGGTGATCCAGTTGACAAGTGCCGGGAGCTGTCGGCACAGCTTATCCAGGATTTTGTGGAGACAATCCCGCGGCCTGCAGAAATCCTCCCTTACCTTGTTCCATCAATTGTCATCCGTCTAGGCAACCAAGAAATGGTGGAGGCAGCGGAAGAACTCCGTCTTTCTCTTGTCCAGCTAATGACAAAACTTGTAGAATTAACTGGTGGTAGAATTGCTCCATTTCTGGATGATTTTATCAAGATTTTGCAGCGAACGCTTGTCGATCCGTTTGCAGATGTTCGAAGAGAAAGTTGCACTTGCACTTGCAAGTTAGCAAGAATCATTCCACAGCACTTTCACATGCAGTCAGAAAGCCTTATCTCTCCTCTCCTTCAGACCATTAGTCATCAACATTCCAAAGTTCGGGTGCAAGTAATTTACACCATTGGAGATGTTTTACAGTTCGGGAATCACAAACCCATGGAAAAGGTGTGACTACAAAAAACAAACAGTATCATTGTTGTTTGTTGGACATGTCATTGTTTTGTAAAATGCTAAATATTGAAAAATTGTGTTTTTGTAACTAAATTCCAGCAGTATATCATTCACTATATCCATTGCAATGTTTGGAAGGGTGGTTGAACTTGTAGGATTATGGTATTCCATGCATGGCAATGAACAAACATGTTGATCTTTCATTTCTGAAGAGAAATTTAACAATACTAAATTACAGATGATATGTTTGTATAATAAAATATGCTTTCAAGGGTCACGACTGATAATAAACGTATTTCTCTTTTCCAGGTCATATCACATCTAGCGCAACGGCTGTTTGACCAATCACCCCAAGTCAGGCTAGCGGTCACTAAGGTTGTTGGAGGATGGCTGCTGGACTTTGTTGACCGTTACTCCTTTCATCATAAACTGATCCCACTTTTGTTGACAAGCCAGACAGACGAGTTAGATGAAATCTCAGGCAAAGTAAGTTATGAATGTAGTATTCTATAGACACTGCACCAGACAACAATTTTTTCTCTATTTGTTTAACCCCACAATCTTTTTTTTTATTTGTATTTGGCTATCAAATTGGTCAGTTATTTCCTAAGATATCAGGAAAGGTGCAGGTCACATTTTCTTTGCAATACTTAAATGTTTTTTTAAATGATTTTAAATTTACAGTGTGTATGAAATACAAAAATTAACTAGAGGAAATTTTGATTTTGATAACCTACAGTGTAGATATTTATAATTTCCTTACTGTGTAACAAAACCTGTAGATGAAACTTTGAAAATTCAATTATTTTCATGAGTTGAGCATTCTAATGTCTTTACCTAAAGTCATTAAGAGTCACCCCCACCTTTACCCCTCTCATTTTTTTCTTCATTAAATTACATCAGCCTCTGATTGTTTTCTCTTAAATCTCTCCATCCAGGCCAAGCAGCTTTGGATAGATGTTGGAAGCAAGTATGCCGAGGAGAATGAGAAAGAACTGAAGGACCAGATGGACTTTGTTGATCCAAACATTGAGCTCCCTCCAGGATATAGTAAGCATTCAATTAATAAATTACTGACTGTCATCTTAAATATCATCAACATTAAAATTAGGGTTGGGTATTTCTTGATTTAGCTAACAGAGAGTGTGGGCATTCATAATTTTAATTTTATCCTTACACATCTGGTTAAAGTTTGCTGAAATAAGTTGTATGAAATAGCAACTCCAATAGAATCTCTCACCACAGTTCTTGGTTTGGTAATACCTTTGGCAGCTCACCTAGGAAGCTAAACTTGGATTCTACCTGACACATTTCTTTGAAATGCAGTACAAAGAGACACCTTATCTAGCAAGTTTATGATTTTTTGATTGGTATTATGGTTATAAGAAGAGAAATGTGCAGTATTGTATTAGAAATTCAAAAGAACTTTTATTGGCTTAGTACCTTGCAGAGAGGAATAACTTAGGAGGAATGAATTAAATTTTAAATACAATAATCTTGAATGAAGTGAAAATCAAATTTCAACAACATGTCTTGGTTCTTTGCAAGTAGTGAATTTCTTGAATGATTTCTCTCTCTCTCAGCTGAGCGTCCCAACCTGGGCTGCCGGACCCTCATCTTCCGCAACATGTCCAAGATCCTTCCCGGTCTGCTCAACGACCTTAAGGACTGGACCATCACCAATCGTCTCATGGCGGCCAAGCTGCTCCACGTGCTGCTGGTGAACGCGGAAGACCACACCACCCAGCACATGGCCCCTCTCCTGGCAGGCATGTACAAGGCGTGCTCTGATGAAGAGACAGAGGTGGTGCACAGGGTGAGTTCTTATGATTCATCCTCGAGTAGGGGGGTATTTGACAAAGACAAAGATCGACTTTAAGATGGACGTAACTATGGCAGGCTGTTCATGCTACTGTTTGCTCTCACCATTTACTGGTATTGGTCTCTCAAGGGACGTACAAATCCTGGTCACAAATCTAAAGAATTTACCTTTTTTGATAGTTCATTATTGAAGGAAAAACATTATCTAGAGATTATAATTGAGAGACCGATGGAGAGAGCAACCAGAGGCATGAACGGCCTGCCATAGTTAATTCCAACATAAAGTCGATCTTAGTCTTTGTGAAACGCCCCCCTGGATCGCAGTGAAGAAGAAAGAAAACAAGAAAGTACTTTTGTGCTCTTTGAAGCTTTTCACAATTAAATCAATCTCAGTTGTGACATCAGAGAGTGCTATGGCCCTGAAGGTATATATAGAGCGATGAAGAATATAAAAAAGGGGGAAATAGCTCTGTAAAACAATAATGAAGTACATACAAATTTTTGTCATGAATACTACTTGTATCGGGCAAATAAAAAAAAAAGAGCACCCTTAAAAAACAAAAAAGCTTTGATAAACAACCTTTTCTTCAGCCAAGTGATTTGATAATAAGAATTTAATGCTAAGCCATTAAAGATGTTGGACCAATATACTGTAGATGAAGGATCGTGTACATCAAAATGCCATGAAATCCCTAACCATAGGACTAATCGATTTTGATAAAGATATAGCATTCTTAGAATCTGTCCAGACTTATCAGCCATTGAAAGATTGATTTTGGTGCTTTGATATGTTGCTTTGGTGTTTGATTGACATTGCCTATCTTGCACAATTTTTTTTTAAAATCACTGCGACTTGCAATACATTAGGAATTTCACAATTTAAATGATATATAACATCCAGATAGCTTATTCTATAATACTTCATACTTTATTCCAATAGCATAATTGTTTCCATTCCTTTGTCAATAAAAGAATTTACATGTAATAATAATAGTGGCTACTTGTATAGCGCACAGGTCCACTTTTCTGTGCTAATGGCGCTTAGAGAAAGTACATGTAACAGACATAAGAAAGAAGAAATTATTAAGAAAAACAAAATTTGAAATGTGTGTTTATGATTCTCAAGAGTGGTAATTTACCTCTGTACATTTCTATTTGTATCCAGTGATATATTCAAAACAATACATTTTTTAATGCAAATCTAATTATTATATTTTTTCAGATCCAGAAGTCTGGTGAGCTGGTCGGGTTCTACGTGGGACCAGAGGTCTACTGTAAGCTGATCTTACCCACAGTCCAGGCCGCCCAGGGTCCAGGGGTCCTCATGACCTTTGCCTCTATCCTCCTCGGGACAAAGAGGGCGCTCCTCAAGTCTTATCTTCTGGATATCTGTAAGACATTGGCTGAGCCAGACGTATGCCGAAGTGAAGAGGTAAACAGACTGACACTCTTTTCCTGAGTTGTAGTTTACGTTTGTCCATTGTTCAATCAAAATGGGTGTCTTTCACCAGTTTCTAAAGCCTGTACCGTTTGACAGTTCTAATATCACACTTTTAGACATTTACTATTTCATGCAATTTCCTATTAACCTAAACATATGTATTTAACCTAAATATCAAACAAAAGTGTGACATATGAATTATTCAGAAGATAAATGTCATATCCTGCAGGCTTGATAGGGAAAATACTAATAAATAATAATACATAAGATTTATAAGGCGCCAAATCCAATTGACAGTCAAATGCTCAAGGCCCAGTTTTACATTAAGAAATGACAAATTATTTAGAATTAGGAAATCAGAAAGAAATGTAGCAGATTGAGCATGAAATGAAAAATGTGTGTGTTCATGTTGTGTATTTAAACCTATGAAAACTGTTATCATCTTTTTTGGATGAAAACAATCTTAAAAAAGAAATGAAAAAAGTATGTTTATTTTGATAAATACAGATTCATTATGCATCTTCTGTCTTTTTTTGTTGTTGTTGAAAATATGCTATTTTAAGGTGGTCATCCTTTATATTTTTCCTATATTTTACAGAAGAATTACCAGACTCAGCTCCTGTCCTGTGTGTCATCCATCATTCTGATCGCTAAAGAAGATTGCGCTGACGTTAGTCTGGAACTCTTCACCGTTCTAATCACCATCATGGCCACTGCTAGAGAAGATGGTCTCAAGAACAAGGTTCGTTGGGTAACTTAGCATTAACCTCAGTCATGTATGATATTCAGCTTCCATTGTTTTGGTATCTATACATGTTTTTAGATTCATTTTATTGCTCTCTAAACCAATAATATCCAGGTTACAAAATCTTTTTGAAATAGATGTATGACTTTAAGCAATTTGCAAGATTATCTCTTGTTCCATTTGATGATGATGATGATGATGATGATGATGATGATCCACAGCACTTGGATGGCGCCATTAATCTGCATTGTAAATGGTTCGTAAACTATATAGATTTAGCATTAAAATGAAATTTAAACCGAATCCATGGTTTTGACCATAGACGTAAGGAGTGAACATTGATAAAGTAACAGCATATAATGATGATCATAACTTGGGATAACAAAGAAAATTAACACTTCTGTTTTCATTGAGTTGAGCCGCAACCAGTTTCCTCATGTCAATCGACAACCTTCATTGACAGGTCAAAGCCGTCTTGACTGACCTAGCAGCAGCCACAGGCCATGAGGGTCCTGCTTCCCTCTACAAGAAACACACCAAGCAAGTACTAGACTCGTTCCAGTCTTCCTACCATCAGTGGACCAACTTCTCGGTGGAAAGGCTTGTATTTGACAGTCTCCTCTCTGAAGCAGGTGATGATTTGTAGTCAATTGCAAATGTTAAAGCCCCACTGCTCTACTTATAACTACTTGTGCCCTGTATATAGCAAACGATGCCTTATCCGTGAGCATTGGTCCCCCATCATCCATGATCCTCTTCTTCTTATGTTAATTGAGAGCTGATTTGACGAGATAACCACCCGGCAGTGACCATGCAGGAAGGTCTAATCCCTCCTGGCCAAACTAGTGCAGTGGGGCTTTAAGAAGTTTGCACAATCATGATATTCATTTGATTTCTTGTTCAGATGCCTCTTCAATAAATGTACTTTACAGTTTATACCAAGCTTTATTTGCCATCACACATTATGCTGTCTAGGGAAGAGCCAAGCTGGTCACATCTAATACAAGGTTTGGTATCGGATCATCATCATTCTTCTCTTCTTTTCTTTTATTGATTAGTGTTAATTTTCTTTTTATCTTTGTTAGTAGGTTCATTTCAAAGAATTTAGCTTCTTGTTTAGAATATGCCTTTTCTCTTTATGCCCCTTAACACTTCTACCATGGCTCTAAAAGAATGAAAGCAATATTCTATACCAATGTCATTCAGCAGACACCTAGGACTCGTTTCACAAAGCCTTTTCTCATTGACAAATGACTAAAAACAGTGACAAATCTGCTGATAACCAATCAGAAGCAAGGATTTCAGTAGCTTATAACAAAAACTGTCATTTGTCACTGATGACAAGTTTTGTGAACCCTCCCCCCCCCCCCCCCGAGCTCTTAGTCTTCTTCTGAATGAATATAGGTATTGGATGTTTGACAGGAATTAGATAATTACAATCAAGGAGGATCTAATTTCATGTGTCCATCATGTTTTCGGAATGAAGATGTTAAAATGAAAGATGAAATATTTGCAAGACAGGATTTCAATTATTAGAGTCGATGCATTTGATTCTTTTTATGTTGCCAATTTCAGGTGAAGCCGTTGGTGATCTCCTTGAAGACATCATCCCCATCCTGGAGACCAACCTCAAGCCAGACAAGGATGCAGAGCTCCGTCTCAAGTTCTTCTCCCTGCTCTCCCGTCTGGTGATGAGTGCCCCTCTGACCCTAGACTCCAAGGACCGGTTCAGGGACTTCTCCTTGATCGTCGTGAAGACGATGGTCCTTCCCAACTGCGTGTGGCACGCCGGGAGGACGGCCACGGCCATCCGCACCACGGCTGTCTCCTGTCTATGGGCTCTCCTGCAGAGCGGCATGCTTACAGCCAAGCAGGTAAGATTTAAGATTGTCATTTAAACTCTGAAATGAATGGTTTCTATATCAGGGGGGTGTTTCATAAAGCTGTTCATAAAGTTACGCATGACTTTACGAACGACTTGTATATGAAAAGCCAAATGGGATGCTCAATCATTATTGATTATTATTTATTAAGTTGAACTGTGCAGATGGAGATTAGCATTCTTATTATAACAACCATTTTTAATACAAAGTATATTTTTTGCCATAATTTAATTGAGGTTATTGGAAATATTAGAAAGAACTTTGGGCATCCTATCTGGCACTTCATATACAAGTCGTTCGTAAAGTCATGCGTAACTTTACGAACTCTTTATGAAACACCCCCCTGGGCCCTGTATTACAAAAAGTTGATATCAATCGCAACTATGAACATAAGAGATAGGAGATTGCAAGCTTGCGATTAATTGGAGGACTTGCGATTGATTTGGATCAATCGTAACTCTTTGTAAGATTGGGCCCAGTTTATGAAAGAGTTCAAGGGGTTATGCCCGAAAAAAAATGCCAACTGCAGTTGAAACTGAAAAAGGCACCTGTACTTTTGTTGAAATGTTATTCTTTTTAAGATCCCACATAATTGTAATAATTATTGTCCTGAAGATATATCATCTCTCCCTATCCCATTCTCTCTCGCCCACACTCCATTTCTCATCCTTCTGTTTGTTATTCGACACATCATTTGTCTATCTCTGCCCCATCTCTGTGACTTTCCTCTTCTTTCCCTTTTCTCCCTCTTTCTTTATCTTAGAACAGCATCCCTCTTCCCATAAGGGAAATTACCTGTCTTGACACCTTTAAAAGATCCCTCAAAACTCACCCTTTTCCCCAGTGATCTATGTGATATACTACATGTGAGACTGTATATTTTTTGTCCTCTTTTAATATATTTGTATTTGCAGCGATATGGTACTTATTGTTTTTAGCGCTTCCAAATATTCATTATTATTAAATTATTATTATTATTATTCAAAATCTCTTTTTGGACCAATAGTTGGACTCCATCATGGATGATCTCCAAGTCCAGCTGCTTTCCCTCATGGAAGACGACTCCCGCTCCACCCGCCTCATCACCGTCCGCATCATGCAGAAGATCCTGGCCAGCTGCGGTTCCGTCACCTTTGACCCTGAGCGCCTGCACCAGCTCTACATGGAGCTCCTGAAGCGCCTGGACGACAGCAGCGATGAGATCAGGGTGGCCGTCGCCAAGACCTTTGGCACGTTCTTTGGTTGCTTCCCCGACGACTACAACGTGGGGCTGTACAAGGCTCATCTGGAGACCCTCTACAGTGGCCTTCTGGTTCACATGGATGATCCTGATCAGACTATTCAAGAAGCTGTGCTTGGTGAGTTCCTCTTAGAATTTCTTCTTCTTCTTCTTTACATGCCATGTCCTGAGACGTCGGCGACCATGGAATGCCACAACTCTCTGTCCCATATTCTATGCAGTAATTCATTCTCCCCAAGATCAATTTCACTTTAAGAAATCCCACTCCTTAAGCTACTCATCCACAGAATCCTCCTTCTACCCCTACTCCTCCTCCCCTTTATTCTTCCAGTCAGTGCAAGATTTTCCAAACCATTCTTTCAAATAACATGTCCCAAGAAGCTCAGCTGTCGGCCTCTTATATTGTTCAGAAGCTTTCGTCTTGTTCCTGCATGGCAAATACCTCATTTTAGAATTACCAACCTTCAAGTTCATGCTACAGTTTAAGCTTCATGGCATTTGTTGCAATGAGGATTAGGGTCTGGCAAGCATTGGTACTTCCAAAAAGTACATGTGCTTCTGCAGAGCACTTCCCCTAAGTTCATTCCCCCCAATCCCACACAGACAAAGCCATACAAGCAATGTGGCATGTGAAGAAATTGTATCCTCATTATCAAGATCAGATTGGAACTAGTATCATATCTGTTATCTATTATTTGGATGCAGGATATTTGCATTTGGGGGGACTTGGTACATGAGCACCATTCATTATACATGTATTTTTCTCCACTCTCCTTTCCCTTTCTTTCTTTTGTCTGCCTTTCTCCTCTCACTTTCTGTCTACTTTTCCCCATCTCAGCCCCTCCCCCCCTCTCTCTCTCTCTCTCTCTCTCTCTCTCCCTCTCTCTCTATCTCTCTCTCTCCCACTCTTCCTCTCCTCTTCTCTAACATGACCTCATTCAAGTTTTTTGTCCATCTCTTTATCAAACCCTCTGTAGACGTACTGAAGCAAGCAGCCAAGGTCCAGCCATCTTTACTCATCAGAGAGATAGAGTCTGTCCGACACAAGCATCGCAGCTTCATCTACTGCGACCAACTGATCAAGCATGCACAGACATTGATGCAACAACAGTAAATACATTAAAACCTGCTTCAGTGACCACCTGTCTACAAAGACCACCTGTCTACACCAACCACATTTTTTGTTTCCCTTGAAAATGGTTTTGCATTGAAACATGCACTAAAGGAACCTGTCTACAAAGACCACTTTTTGTGTTTCCCTTGGGCGGTCGCTATAGACAGGTTTGACTGTACATTCAGTACAGACCACCATGCAGTGGTGGGACACAGGTTTTTAGCCAGGATTTCAAAGTCAGGAGTCCTGATTGCAAAGAACCCCTTTCTAAAAGAAAGGCCTGTCATTAAAATGTACAAATCGGCCAAAACAGATTTTGTTTTGTATCTTAGCAGTTCCATGTCGTATTACTTGGTTCAAAATACAAGTCTCAAATATTACTTCTGGAAAGATATTTTGCAAGTTTGAATGCACTCTCAATTAACATAAAAGTGACTTGTGAGTAGACTACTTGATGCATCCATACAAGCTCACATATAAATAGTCAGACTTGGGTTCTAAGTGCACAGTTTTATGTTATTCTTTCTTTTCTTCCTACTCCTCATCCGTTAGCCCATAGTGGGTAAATTTTGGTGAATTTTTTTATTTATGTTGAGTTATTTCATTGATATACAATTTTTTAAGGGGATTGGTACACTTTAAATGATATACCTGTAGTTTGAACAAGTTTGGGGTGTTTTCTATGAAAAACTAGACATCTTTTGGATGCCGAGTTACCCTCCTGGTTGAAAACCTGCTGTAACATCACATTATTCTCTGCCTAGGCCACTACACATTTTGAAATCTGATGTAACACAATTCAGGAAGTAATATCCTCTTGTATTTATTATTTATAGCAGAATAGACCACTCAACAAATGTATTATAATTTTATGTATGCTCCTACTACAACAATTGCTAATGATGACTCTAAAGCTTACCTGACATAGCAACAACTAATGATTCGAACCTGTATTCTGAATGTTGAAATATGCATAATACAGGTAAATTCAATAGTTTGTCATGGGATTTTGACTGAGATAGAAGTATCTTTAAATTTGAATACATTTGTGCACTACTGTATTCCACAATATTAAGGGAAAGTGAACCACTGTCTTGTATGCCCTTGCTGTGTGATATCTACATGTACATGTACGTTACAAATAATTTCAGGAAGTACAGACACTGCACCACAGAATGTTCATTCATATCCATAATGATTCACCTTTAGAATTAGAACAAACCTAAACCTTACCCCGCACTTTGAATAAATAATATATATATTTCTCATGACTAGTAATACATTATGGTGTTGCAGTACAATACTTGGAAATGTCAGTTACAATGTATAACTGAAGATAGAAACTCATAGAGGATGAGATTCATTTTAAAAATATGGTTCATCAAGTATCAAAGTAGCAAATATAGTGTATTCTTATGAAAGTTCTCACTAGTGATTGGTTTAAATTAAGCATATATATATAGTTTGAAGGGGAAGTGTATCCAGAGTATGCTCAGAATTTTTTCTCGTGATGAGATTTTAAAAAAATCTGTAGATCTTCTTTTCTTTAATTTTTTTAAAATGAGAATTGTTTTTTTATTTTCATAGTTCTACCATTTAGGTGTTGGGCATGTATGTGTAGATGTTGGCACACGGCCAATTCTGCATTTAGATTTGGGAAATTAAAAACAAATACATTGCAGATGTCATAAATGAGAAATGAATGGGTTTATTCACCATATGAGATGTGATCATCATAATGTTGATGACCTCTTGCTGAAAAATGGTTTAAAAATCCCTCAAATGTATGGATGATAAACTTTGATTTCTTGTACGTGTCTTAGATAAGAAATATTACAAATAATCGGGTACAGCACATCTTATTGCTACTTATGATAGCTTGGCAAACATTGAGTATTTGTTCATCGCACAATCCAAAGCGTTCATTTATGAATACAGGCGAGTCATTTAGATTCATGTGTCAAACTTTTGTTCTACTAATAGATATGATATTAGAAACTCAGTTAGGACCACTGGTTTTAATATACAGTCAAACCTGCTTTAGTGACCACCTGTCTACAAAGACCACCTGTCTATAACAACCACATTTTTGGTTTTCCCTTGAAAATGGTTGCTCATTGAAACATGTATTAAAGGAACCTGTCTACAAAGACCACTTTTTGTGCTTCCCTTGGGCGGTCGCTATAGACAGGTTTGACTGTACAAATAAATACATTGTATGTCACAGACTGGACTTTGAAATGTGTCATTTTTACTGCATAGACTTCCTCCTACCATCTTTCAAAGGGGAGAAAGAAGATTAGCATTTGTGGAGTATGTACTTTGTTCTATTGAAGAACATCATTCAGCACTGTTTACAAATTTTATGAAGATAATGATTCATTCATAAATGAGTAGCAATTTTATACTTGTTGTAATAAGCGATGTCTTACCACAGCAAATCATTTCTTATAAGATATGACAGAAATTTGAATATTTGAAGAACGTTTTGTTACAAGAAAAATTCACCACTGACTGAATGAATTTGCAAATGAATGTGAAATAATCTGCAACTGGTTTATTTTCTATTGTTTTCCATTTTATGTAATAAAGTGTGTAACTTCATTTTGATTGTTTTAATCTGTGTTCGGTAGTAATGTGTGAAATGAAGTAGTCTTTAGCATCTTGATATGTGTGTTAAAGTAAGATGGATATAACTTTTTTGTTTTAATAAAAAAATAGATGGATATAACTTCATAGCCATTAGCATAAAATATCATAGATGCACATCATTTCTGTTGTAATGACATGTCACAAATTGAATTCAGATTTAAGTTTTTATTATTATTTACATACAGTAGAGTACATTGATATTGATACTTTAAGTCTTAAATTATTAATATTTTAAGGCTTATGTTTATTATTTCACTTCTTTGCAGCATGTTTGGACTTAAATGCAAATAAAAGTAAGCTCGCTATCCATACAAGCAGGAAAATATCAATCAAAACTTATTTCTGAAAAAAGTGAAAGTGTATTACTTTTCTTACAGCCAACTAAATTTGATCTATACTGCAATCAGGTTATAAAAGAACAAAAATTTGACATCAATTGTTCTGTCCACGAGTGGATCATAATCTTGGTACCTCTTTCAGAGATACATTTAGGATTAGATTTTGAGGGGTTATCATTTAATAGCAAAGTAACATACTTCGTCATTTCAGAAATTTACATATCAAATATTTTCATATAAGACAGGATGTAGTATTAATACTGTATTGTTCACCAGGGTGTGTTCACAATTGAGCATTTTATCGAAATTGGTTTGAGATTATCTCTAGACTTGATGAGATATTCAAGATTAAGAGTGTGACGGTAAGGTTTCATGGATACAGTGGTGGACATGAACACAAGAGAAACGTGGCTTGGAGATCATATCAGTGCTCTTTAATGCAATCAGTTACCTAGACCCTCAGCAGGCCTGATAAAAACCCGATTTAAATCGGTTTCCCGATTTTTTTTATTTTCCCCGATTTTTTCCCGATTTTTTTTCTTCCCGATTTAAAAAAAAAAAAAAAAAAAAAAAAAAGATTTTTTTTTTTTGATTTTTTTTTTTACCAGATTTTTTTTCCCTTCCCTATTTTATCCTGATTTTCCTGATTTTCCTGATTCCCCCCTTATTTTCTCTATTCTTCCCTATTTTGCCCTATTTTTCCCCCCAATTTTCTTACTCGAAAGGGGGGAATGTTGTTAGATGCCATTTTTTTCCCCCGCGAATCCTCTTCTTTTTTTTTTACTCAAGGGGGGCGTGGTTGAGGGGAAAACAAAAAACCTATTTTTTTTTTAGTGCTCACTATCTCCCCTGCCTCAGATACGACTTTTAAGACGTAGGTTGCCTGAAGCTTACAGGTACAAACTTTCTCCCTTTGCATTAGTATTATTATTTTGGCATCACCTGTGCCTGGGAGGCAAATATCGAACTGAATCACTGTAACCCTCAGGTCTCTCCTCCAGGTATAACTGATTGGGGGAGTACATATAATAATAAAACAATAAGGAATTAATCTAAACATTAAGCAGTCGTCTCTGCGTTGTTTGCATCTTGACTCCTACGAGAGAGGGTATCGGTATAGTTAGGAGGAGGGGTGCTGGCATAAACCTCAAACATGGACTCCCTTCTAGGATCTGGGCTTGGTATTGACACGCTATGGATGGTACCATATGCAGGGGGTGATCTCGAAACAACCTCACCCTCTTCTGAAGTGACTTCGTAGTCGATCAGAGGAAGCTGCTGCTGTCTGGGCGTACCTCGAGCAAAGATTGAGAATGCAGATCGGGTTCGTGGTTGGGCCGGTGTTTGGGGGTGGCTGTAAGCTGGGGAAGGGCCGGTTCTTAGTCTTGCCATTGACTGCGCATTGTCTGCATTCTGCGTGGCAAGGAGCACATCCTCTTGGCATTTCCCGAGACTCCAAATAAGACCCACCAGAATAAGCCAAACCCCGAGAGGCACCGCGAAAAAAAATGCAAAGTAAATCTCAACTCGGGGAACGCATCCCGTTGCCAAGGTGACGGACGGTGAGGGAGAATGGGCCTCCATTTGAAAAAGGATAGTATCCGCAGCTTTAGGGACAGATAGCCTGCAATATGTCGCGTTCCTACAGGTACTTACTACATGGTCATCATGGATGATAAGATTTTCACGGAAGAGAGTGAAATTGATATTGGCAACCAGTGAGGAGTTTGAAGAAAGTGTCGGGTCTTGGAATAGGAATATGTATTCGGAATACTCGTAATGAGAGAACCGCAACTTAATGTTCGTTATATTCGTAGAACAAGAAAAATTATATGTCTCATAAATGCAGCTTAAACAGAAGAGACCACGCCGTGAATCTTCCATCCATTGAAAGAACTCTTTCTCCTGAATTACATACATTGTTAAATTGGAACAAGATGAACTCACTACGTGGAGGTACAAGTCTTCGAGATCACCCAACTGATACGCCCAATACATATACTCCAATGGTGAACTTAGGTATAATGTATATTCTCTTGAGTGCATGTACCTAGTATATAGTCTAGGACCTTCCAGAAGCATATACGCACCAATCGGCCCATGATTTAAGCTTTGTTCCTGTTTGGGTGATTGGCCGAAAGATGTGGTGCTAGTCACGTCCAGATCGTACTCTGAGCAAAACATCGTAGAGAAATCCCCATCGCCTGCCCATAACGTTCGCTGGTCGTCAACCCCCAATACGAACCTCCGCGATTCGAACCGTGCGATCCGTAGCCAGAGAGCGATAGAGAATGAGACCGCGGCCAGAACTGCTGCCAAAAGCAGAGATTTCTTGAGTACAGAAGTGGTATGACTATGAAGTTTGTGATTAGGGCAGCATGTCTCATCACAACATTCACTCTCTGAATTCACTTCCGATGAGCTGTTCCCGGACATTATGAAAGGATGCTTCCTTTGTTCATGAGCATTAAATTTCCCAACTGTAAATGGGCATCATTGAAAAAATGGAGGTCAATGTTTTCTCCGTCTATGATTCTTTCAAGTTTCGCCCGCATGCATGTAAAGATTGAGAGACTTGTAGCAATTGGTAGACATGTCATTTACTGTGTTTCTGTCTCTGTCACTCTGTGTCCAATCATCTTTCACTGAAATTCCTTGCGTCCAACATTAAAACATAAAACAAAACAACTGAAGATCTAGATGAGATACGTTCATACCGCGAAGTTGACCATGTAGCTCGGGAATAAGGACCTATTATCGACATCCATTCAAAACGCATTTAAAAAACGATCCATTTGACAAAACTAAAGTGAATGCAGTATTGGATTTTGTATCACCTTAATGTATTCCCCTTTGCTGCATGTTAACATGTGTAGCTTCTTGAACGATGCAAGATATACTCGGTCCTTTGTGAAACGGAACATGCAATAATCACGACGACTTCGCAGGCTAGCGATCATGAAGCTTAAGTCTTTAAGAGCTGTGAGTGGTTTCCAAATTAGTGAAGTAGCATATACATCATGTGCCTAATAATCAATGATAGTGATCAAGACAACACAAATCACACGTTCGGCTAATCTATCTAAATGCCTGTTATAATATAAGCTTATCAAACTTCCGACTGATCAAAGGTCACAGGACATTTTGGTGACTATAGGTTCATATCTAAATATAGGATTAGGATGATAGGCATATGGCACGTGACTTTGATGGCTCATTGAATATATGCCATTTATCTTTCTTCTCCTACATAATTATCTTCTTTTTCAAACCTTTTTTATCCATTTATTTATCATTTATTAATTTATATATTAATTCATATACTCATATAAATATATATATATATATATATATTCAATTATTTATGTATGTATGTACTTGGTCCCTTTTTCTCCTATATTACTTTCCTTCTTCTTCTTTCTTTCATCCTCTCTCCTGAGCTTCTGTTGAAGGAGTATGTTAGGATGTGTGTGTGTGTGTGTGTATAATATTGTTTTGGTTTAGAATTTATTGATTTCCATATACATACATGTACACAGGGGCGGATCCAGGGGGCAGAGGGGCCCGAGTCCCCCCCCCCCCGGCAAAAAACAGGTAAAACAAATAACGTTAATTTTACCTTCTTTTCTTGTTGCTCAAGGGGGGGGGGGGGGAGGGGGGGGGGGCTGGGTGTTGAGTAAAAAAAAATAGTGCTCACTACCCCCCCCCCCCCCCGCTGATCGCTAAATATTTTTTCACGAATTTAAGCCCCCCCCCCCCCCTCGCCGCCAGCTGGATCCGCCCCTGCATGTACATCCTCATTGGTTTAAAAATTGTTGAAATATATTGATCACAATTCACAATTCAAGTAGAAAAGGGACAAGGAGAGAAAATAAGTTTTTGCCTTGTTTAATTAGATTTCACAGCAACCAACAGCAAAGTAAGAATGACAGCAATCTCGAACGTTTTGCAACGGAATGCTAATATTTGGATTACAAGTCACATTTCTAAATGAAATGTAGTCTTGACCGATGCATATCAAGGCCTATGCCATCCCTACGAAAGCACTATAACATATCCTATCATCTGTACTGACAAAAGACTAGGAATGCGTTTCTGTTCATTATGATTAAATAAATATTTCAAATA